AAAAGACAGTTTCCAATACTAAGTTACAGTTGTGGCCGTGGTACGGGAATCAATATGACACAGCAGTACCCAGAAGGTTATGCATACGACCACCCTACCAACCAACAAACGAACGAACCAAGCAACCACACATATACCCCTATCGGTATATCAACGAGTCAAATATGTTTTTACTGATTTCATATCAAATGTATGTATCGTTATATATTCCGTCTTTGCGTATTGCAGAGTTATCCTCTCTTGTGAGCAGGTATTGATTGTTACGTCATTGGTTTGTGAGAGTAACGTCATCAATTTTTGAGAAAACGACGTAATTTTCTCACACAAACCAATGCAGTACACGTATCATGGTATGGTTATATGAATAGTTTTTCATGATGGATGACTTGTAAATCATATCCTATAAGTTTTCAATAGGTTCAGTACTGCTGTAGCGAGCTTTCTTTTTATCATAAATAGCACGTGGAGTATGATAACACATGAAACCGGATGTTTGAAACAAGCACAATAAAACTAATTTTCGTTTCTCACCCGGATATTATTTTCTAGATAAAATATGGACAATGAGATTCTTTGTCAAGATGATGACAACTATGGGACACAGTCAGCAAAAGCGTATGTGTGACAGATGTTTATTTAAAATGCTTGAAAATGCAGTCTGACGTATAATCATTTATCACCTAATGCACTGTGTTATCCAGTGAATATACCCATGTTACATTTTTTTGCGTATTAACATCTCATATGAAATGGAAACTCATGTAAGATCCTTTATATAACTACGATGAATTACTACAAGCACTTCATTTTAGCCATTAAATAAATAAATAAAGGACGTACCGGTCCGAACCCTGATCGGCCTCCATACCCAATTAATATAAAAAAAAACAACGTATAGAGCCCGGTCAGGTTCCGAGGCGGACTTCTTTTGAATTAGTTTTTTATCCCACTTTATTTATCAATTTTATTTATCTGATGTTTTTTCCCCCCTAACGGCAAAAATCAATTACCGGTGGTATCACTAATGCACACAGCAAGGATTGTTTTCTTCTTAAAGAAGCTCTCTGCACCAATGCACGCGGCTAGCGATTCGACCTCGAAGTCGGATGTCGCTCCTATGTAATGATAGGCCTATCAGTCAACCGATTGGTCAGGTTTTTTTTTACAGTTATGGTCCAACTTGATATAGCTGTAACAAATTATCACGCCCCTATGGTACAGACAACGTAAGAGAGCGTACCACTGGAGTATCGAGGATGGTATGCCCATATCCTTATCATTAATTGTATTTGGAAAGATTGTTAAAGCAAGAAAATAGGCAGAGTTTCCCAGGTCATCAATCAAGTCTAGCTTTTCTTGTGTGTGTTTGCAGAGAAAGATAGCCGACACAGGGACCTGAGAATTTGCTACAGCTATATTTGGACCTAATCTAAGGTGTTCAGCGTAATTCTACATATTCTAGGGGTTTAGATCGACGTTCGGTAACAATGACAACCCCAATGAACATATATACGAGAAGGGCGGAAAGCTCTCGATGTCGAAAAGTCGACCCCACCTAACTTTCTTTCATCAAAAACAACATTTCTAGTTGATATGTCCTCCAAAACCACACGCCATTTCAGAGTTTCAAAGTTTTTCGCAGTCATCGTGACACTTTTTTTGTTGTGTATATTAATGAGGTTGGCGTCAGCCACGTACCGAGACCCGTGGTGTGACTGGCTGAAAGCGCAGCCATTTTTTTCGCTAAACCAACCAACACTGCATGTTTCGGCACGAGGCTGACGTCAACCTTATTAACATACAAAAAAAGTGGCACGATGACTGCGAAAAACCTTGAAACTCTGAAATGGCGTGTGTTTTTGGAGGAAACGGAGATGATGTCCACGGAAGGAAAATACATTTAACGTGCATATAGGAGGTTTTTAAAAGAAAATTATCAATTTTTCCAGCGGTACTAAGCATTTTTTCGTAGATCAACTAGAAATATTGTTTTTGATGCAGGGAAGTAACGTCTTTCCTCCCTTCCCGTATATACTCATTGGGGATGTAATTTTTACCGAAAGTCGATCTAAACCCCTAAAAACGTAAAAGAAAACTCTGAACACCTTATTTAAGGTCAAAATATAGCTGTAATAAATTTTCAGTTTCCTTTGGATTGGACATCGGGGTAAAGAAATATAGATTTTTTTTCCATTTCGCATTTCAAGCTTTTCTGAATGTACATCAGATGTATTTAATCCATTCTGAAAGTCAATCCATTGTCTAAGTTAGCCAAGCGTCTGGCATTCCGTCTTTGCGTATTGCAGAGGTATCTTCTCTTGGGAGCAGGTATTGATTATTACGTCACATGTTTGTGAGAGTAACGTCATCAATTTTTGAGAAACCGATGTCATTTTCTCACACAAACCAATGACGTAACAATCAATACCCGCTCCCAAGAGAAGATAACTCTGCAATACGCAAAGACGGAATAGATAGAATGAAAGCAAATGGGCCTACATGTAGGATATCATCGAAAAATGTAACTTTTGCCTCATTGTCGCCTAAACATAAAGGTTACTGTTAACTGTTCACTGGTTAGGAACAGTAAAGCGTAAGCACGGCATTTAATCGTAACAACGAAACCGTGGTCAAGGACTCTGTTCAAATAGAAATCAAGCCAAAACAGACGCCGGGCCTAATTGTTTTCAACACTGCGCTTCAATGCTACACATAGATAACACCTTAAAAATTCTGTTACTACGTACGTTTTCGGTGGTTCCTTTCTTAATTAAGACGATATTTCTGCAGAAAAACAGTGCCCAAAAATGACAACCTCTATCCTAGTCCGAATTATTCTGACGTTTTATCGACTTTTTTTCATATCGGTCTGTCGGTCGGTTAATCGACGACAGACCGATATGAAAAAACGTAAGAATAATTCGGACTACCTCTATCCTAAATGCGTAGCATTTGTGCGAATTATATGAAGTCTTTCAACTCGGTACCACTGACTCACCGTTAAGTCTTCAGTAGAGGTCACCAATCATCACTAACTGTGTAGAATGGTTAAAGAAAGTACAGAAAACGTTTCATAGATAATATAACTTAAATGATACCAAAAATAAACAGTGTAAAAAGTTAAATGGCTCATCAAATACCTCCAACGATGTCGTTCAAAGAAATGTACACTAACACTGAAATAAAGACCGTTGTCTGAGTTAATTTTCCAAAAGCTTCCACCCACCCTTTCCACTCTAGATGTGTTTTACAGATCATAAGCTCAGTTACTTTAAATAATAATTGTTTCAATATCTTGCACTATCCCATAGCTAGGCCTACACCTACATCTGGACTTTGATGCACGATGGACGAAGGGGCATAACTCTAACTGTCAAGACCCAACATCAGAAACACTCCACCACATGCAAAGTTCAATCTGATTAAAATCATATCCTACATGTGTACATGTGTAGGATATGCTTTTAATCAGTTTGATGCAAAGTTTGGCCATATTGCCGGTGATAGAGTTTTAGATATGCCAAGGACAAAGTGGCACGTGGACGGATTGATTGACGGACTGACCGCTGACTGACCGAGTGCACTGAGACATATACAATATAATATATATACTCCAGAAATACCATTGGGGGATCCGGATTGAATCTTAAGAACCATTAACAATGAACTACCCCGACACAGACAGAGATAAATGTGAACAATTAACGCTGATATAATAGCAATACGTATATATATATATGTATACCCGCAGTGCGATTTCCAAGTTCACAAAGTAACCGACCAACTCTCCTTTACTAAAAGGAATTGTCAAATAAATTTTTATTTTCAATTTCATATTTAACTGTATTTCCACTATTGAGTATCTAACAATTTATATATACCATAAGATTACATAATGGGCGCTCTACTATTGAGTACCTACAGTTTACGGTCATTTAAGCATTTAACTGCTTTCATTTGCCATTCATATTGCCAATAAATGCCAACTGAAAGCAGTTCAATAATTATGTTTACCATTTTAGGAATCTTTTCATCTTACAGAAAATTAAATTACACTCATTAAGCATTTAGTTCAAAACAATGTGTGTATCCTGTATGTCTTTTCCATGAATAGAACAGCCATCGCCCAGGGAGGGTCAGTAGTATTTCATGATCCCGGGGCCTTCAATCTTGTTACAGCTATATTGGACCTAAATCAAGGTGTTCAGAGTAATTTTACACGTTTTAGAGGTTTAGATAAACTTTCGGTAAATGTAGTGTTACCGAAAATTGATATAAACCCCTAAAACATATAAGCTGCTTACTCTTATCACCTCAGTTAAGGCACAGGGGCACGCGACTACTATATAAACCCCTAAAACATGTAAGCTGATTACTCTTATCACAGGCTCAGTTTAAGGCACAGGGGCACGCAACTACTAATAGTATTGATCTTGTTAGGCTTTCAGTCGCTGGGTACGTTACACGTATTATATCCCAGTATTGGGATATAACGTATACAAACCCATGCACCGACTGAAATTCTAACAATATCAATATATTTAAGTAATAGTAGTTGCGTGCTCCTCTGGTGACCATGTAATTAGATATATTGTGCTGTGACAAATTACCAGGTCCTTGTGGTTTATACATCCCTGGCCAAATACCTTTTTTTTTAAAATATAAAGATTCTAAATCTGATATATATCTCAGTAATAAATACACAGACTAAATCTGAGTTATTGCGGCAAACTTCAGTGTTGCCTGAAGAATTTAAGATTATCCAAAACATGCCATCATTTGTTCCAGAACTGCAGAGTCCATTCGACAAACTAACATTGTATTGGGCTTTATATACGTCTGTGTATCAGGTTATACGGTGGATAAAATATGAACTCGATAAAGGATGGAGCAAAAGAAACTACCGACGGTCGCTCCCGAGAAATTCCGAACAACGTTCCAAGGTAAAAGTCAAAGATATTCAAAGTAACCGGAACTCTTCTACAAAGGAGGTAAGGAAACGAACCGATCGATTTTTTGCTAGCAGAAGGTTGTTTCTCGGTTGCTGAGACGCTGAAGGATAGGCGTGTTGTGAACTTGAACAGAAGGACATGGGGCGAACGGCAACACTTGCAACATGTACCCTAAACCAATGGGCTATGGATTTCGAAGGAAATATGGCAAGGATTTTGGAGAGTAAGATAATTAATATTTTATTCTTGTCTCTTTCTGTTGCTCTTTTTGCAGCTGAAAGCACTATGACCCCCTCGGCATCAACAACCTCTCCTTCATCCTTTCGCGTACATTGATTATACCCCTATCGGTACATTATATCTATAATAACTAGAAATATGTAAAATTTACTGACAGCTGGCATCATTTAGTTCATATCTGTCTTAAAATCATGTCACATGGCTTCGTTTACTACAGAACGTAAACGAAACCATGCATGTCCAACAGATCTTCTTCCTAGTGAAGTAGTGCTGGCCTCATTTCTGAGGGTAAATTTAGCACTGCTAACAGATGCTTTTAATCAGATTACACGGACACTTTGAATCGGGAAGGATAAACTAGCCCAATTTAGATTTTCATAGTAAAATGTTATAAAGCTAACGAGTCATCATGCATTGTCAGACCAGAAAAGGAGGGTATTTTCATAACAAATAACTCCGAACGAACTAGAGGGCAAAGCAAAAAACTCCAAAAACCAAATGCTAGGCTGATATGCCGGAAAAACTGTTACAACTTGCAATGTCCGAGCAATTAATGACTAGAAGTAGAACAGCTTATCCGAGGACGTGGTGAGCAGCAAATCAATGAACGAATTTAAGAGCAAACTGAACAACTACTAGAGAGGTATATAAATATCAAATTCAATCCTGATTGCTACTAACTACTACTAACGAGTCTTAAAACCATCAACTGAAGACAAGGTTTCTACAAGCGTGAAACTGTTTTAATATGTGCTATATGATATCTGTTGAATATGTGACAGTCAAAACAAGGATATCGTAATAGCACGGCGTGGAATATAGTTTTTACATAATAAACCTTAACATAAAATAGTATATGACCAAGTGACATATGAGTAAACATTTTTAACCATACACTGAGTAACGAAATATAGTATAGAAATTGGGCAGTCTGGCACTGAATCAAGTAACGATCCGGATAATGGGGTCAAGAAGCAGATATGCTTAAAAAAGACCGGCGACAGGTAAAACAGTGGAAATGTATACACACTGAGTGTAACAGAGGTCATTATTTTTCAATGCATTCGCTACATAACATTAATATCCGGCCTCCTCTGCTCCGGCAGAGAAAATATTGTTAAAAATTATTATTATTATTATTATTACTAGTATTTCACCACGGTGACATGATCATGAGTAGTATAACATACAATGTAGGTGAAACCTCGGACTAAAGTAATCTAATTCCGTGGTAAAACTATTTCATTTTGAGAACTGTTCACTTGAGACTAAAGGTGACTTGAAGAAACTTGAATTGCTTAATATATACATAATGTATATAAAAAAAAGATAACATTGCTAAATCAAAATGATTGATAAGATATAATGCTGTCCATGACCATACATGATATTGATATACATATATTTATTGTTTTATAATCAGGTATACAGAAATCCAAAGAGTTGGGAGCCAAATACAGACTTGGTCCAGAATTAGAAATTTGGTAAGGTTTAGTTAAAATCAAATCAAAAATATGACAGACATTTGAAATATGGATAACTCTTTGCGAAGGAAAATTTCAAAAAATTATAGGAATTTTGATATTCATGTGAGATTGCCAAGCAATTATTTATGAATTTCATTTGTCTTATTTAAAAAAAGTGTAAATATGAAATAAGCATCTGTAAGTAAAAAGGTCCTTACATATTCAGACCTTTTTTACCAGCCAAGGAAATAAACAAAGTACAACTAGAATATGTGTTAATTAATAATATCTCCATGAATCATACATTTTAGTTTACTAAAGTTTTAAATTACTGAAAATTTTTGGGAAGGAAAATTCAAAAAGGACTTTTGCATGTTGGGGTTTTCCATTTGGGGTTTATCGTCAATTGAAAATAAAAGTGAAAGAAAATGTTTAAAACTGTTTTGTTTGTTTTGTCAATAGCGGGTATGGATGTGGAGACCATTTCCTGGAGAGTGACACGTTCCTACACAGCTGGCAAGTGTTGGCCAACCTGCTGTCATCTCCAGAGACACAGGATATCCTCTGTGACGTGGGCATGTAGGTGTTCATATCAGGTTGTGTGTGAAGTTCCATGTAGTGAAGCAAAATAAACCAATATAAACTGTGCTCTGAAGACGGCCTCCCTTTGGCCGAAACATGTCAGCACTTAGGATATAAATCAAACATTACATTTTGTACTGGATTCAGTGGTGTTGTTGCTCATCATTTCTGTTTTCATTTGCTCTGCTTTCCCTGATGAGCACTGTTGAATACCATTAAGGTAACCACCCTAGGATCCCTACCGCCACTATGGAACTGACTTCCTTCCAGGGACATTGGGTCTCCACCCCCAAGTAACGTGTTGTTACCAATATATAAAGTGTAAAAAGTTGGGATAAAAAACCCCAGTTATACAACATAATTGATATATCATAAATCCATTTTCATATGGACAAAGCATTTTCCAAACCTGTTACAGATTATCTATACATTTAGCATGAAAATGGATTGTATAATTGATGGTAGTGGGTTGATGATTGATTATAATGGAAAATCAATCAATTTTACCCTTTCAGGATCTGAATATTGATTCCACATTCAATAATCGATATAATTGGATCATTTTAAAAAATTAAGTGTCATGGTCAAATGAATATACATGTACAGTATGCACTGGAGGTCATTTTAATTGCATAAAAGTTGCTTGAAATCCATTCGTTTTAAAAGAATGAAACCCAATGTATACTTAACAAATATGTCTATTGATGTCACAGTAGTACTAGTGTTCTCACATTATTTTGGTATTCAGTTCCATAAAACTATAAATAGATTATGCAATTGATCATCAATCTTTTGACTACTTCTGACAACAAACTAATTATCGATTAAAATTTAAACCAATTGCCCATCACAGTAATAACAGATTGGTTTTGATATTTGGCAAACATGTTCATTTTTTTTTCTCCATCCCCTACAGTTTTCCAAAAAGCATTTGTAGTAATTTAAATATTTATGTGTTTTAGGTTTTTTAAAAGTTTGATGGCTTGATTTATTGATGGCTTAATTTATGTTGCCTAAAAGTCTAGATCCCAAGGTTGTTTTCTGATTATTTTTCTTATTTACGTATTTGTACCTGCCCTTAAAAGTTTTTGACTAGAAACCTGAATTACATTATTAGATATCGTAAATAAATTGCTTTGGGAAGTAAATACTCATGAATTTCTTGCCGAGTAAGAATGTTATTAAAAATTTAAGTCTGCTTAAAGACACTCTCTTTTGTCGTAAACTCTACTTTAGTTTCAACATAACATTCTCCTGGCCTGTTACAGGTTTTGCCAATGTCAGCTAAGTACTGAATTTTAAATATAATGCAAGATGTATTTTGTTATTCAATTTTTCATGACCCCTTACTACAAAGGCACAATTTTGAATATGTTTTCCTAGAGTCAATTGTTGATGATCAATAAAGTTGAATGCTCCTGTGTTACAATTTTGTGTATACTTTTGTAAAAAACACAATACAGCAAGAACAGTACTGAAAATGGATTTTTGTGTGCATACATTATTTACTAGACAATTCTATGGTAAAACAACCCCTGTAATACTCATTTAGGTGTGTCTATTGATAGTGTATGACATTTTCATGTAATTAATGTACAATGTATAAGAGGAATTCAATCTTTGAGGGGAAAAATGCTGTAAAGTCAGCCCTGTTTTCCTTTCAAATGTATTAGCTTCAGAATGGTGTTCAAACAATTGAAAATATAAATACATGTACATTAGTATGCATTATAAAGTCCCAGATTTTTATTTCATCCTACAGTGTAACATGTCAAAACCGGCTAGATTGGGACTGAAATAGCCTGAGTTTCCTCTGACCCTAACACCATACTTAGACATTTTGACATATAGATGTCTGGTGTGGGGCCAGAGTGCACTGCTATATGAAAACGTGGAATTCTCCGACACTGTTTGGTAACGGAGAGTTATGAGATGCTGACAGCAAAAATCTACTATGACACAACACATAACTCACATATATCGATGAANTATGATATTTGAGTTGATCCTTGGGTCTGGCCACAACCGTAGGAACCTAGTTTCTGAGTCACAGATTGGAAACAGTTGAGATCCCCACCCCATAACCATACATAAAATTGCTTGGCATGAAAAATTGAATACAGATATATATGCTACAAGGATTGGCCTTGGGGTCTGGCATATTCCCATGGATCTCATTTGGAGAATATTCTGCCATGATTGCTTAGATATCCAGGTGAGTGATACAGGCCCTATGGGCCTCTTGTTGTCTACAGTGGTGAAAGGGTTAAGGAAGTGCCTCGATCCGTGTATGTCAAACCCACAGGGGAGCTATAGAGGTACAGTACCTAAGTACAGGAAACAGTAGAATGGCAGACTTATTGTAGGGATTTGTTTGGGGTACTGCAAAGGAAATTTATTGGAGGGAGTGCCCTTGAGATGATATATATATATTGGAGACAATGCAAGGAAACAGGGATGATCATTTGACACAGCAGCACTTTAAGTAGGTGGTGGGGTGGTAGAGGTGTCAATTCAACGAGAGACGTAAACTTGGAGTGTTAAACAGAAGAGATTTATATATATGGAGGGACAGTGCCTAAGACTTAAGTGAGTATTGAGTTGAGAGGTATTGGGGTTAACCTTGAGATGAGAGATAATTTTTGGGGTGGGTGGGGGGTGGATTTTGTGATTGAATATTGAAATAGAAGATATTAGAGCATAGAAAGAGGGGAGACACTGATACGAACATTGGGAAAGAAGATGGCCAGGGATACTTTTTTCCCATTTAGGATGTAGGAATGTGAGGTAAATTATTAAGAGAGAATATCTATTGGGGTGGCTACAAGATGGGGTATTTAGGAGACTGAGAAAGGATACAGAGGGATGTTGGCGTGTTAGGTGGATGTCATGACTGAAGCAGGGATGCGGAGGAAGACAGAGATATTTCAGGAGAAAACATTGAGATTGGAAGTATAAATTGAGAGACAAGCCAGTAACAAGAATGTTAAGTAGAGGGATATGTGATAGATGATGGAGAACAATATGAGGAAAAAGTCATTTAGACATTATGGGGAGGAAGATATCTGGCAAGTTCAGTCATCAACTAAGGTGACCCTGGACCAACTACAAAACACTTTGGTAAAATCTGTATCTCGCATGTGCTGAAATGTACCGGACTATCTAGACATCGTCTATTCAAGCATGGATTTTGAACAGCAGTGATTTATCAGTATATTGACATTATGAGACGTAGGGGTATCACAATATATTGCAATACAGTTCTAAATGAAATAACGCTGAATTGCACTATGTTTTGAAAATCTTCTCAATTTTTATTTATCCGCAAGTTGTTTTTAATAACTTTGCTATATATGTTCTAATAAATGTCCTAATAACCATACACATTCTTTTGAAAGTGGTGGTAATCGGTTAAAATTTCATAATCAATGGTTGGTTTAACGAAAAATCATAAATCTGTGTGATCCCTGTGATATATATTTCAGTCTGATATCATTATGACAAGATAATTTGTTTTTATAATTGAGAAATCTTTCCTATGACAATATATTGGGATATGTATCGCAATTCTTTCCTTCTGTATTGCAATATGTTGTATTACGTACACTCTAGGTAGATTGTGACACCCCTAGTATGACATATTGTCAATGGTTGATGATTGGACTTGCTCATTGAGCAAGAGACATCTTTCTTAAGAGAAAGAAATTATCAGTGTGATATTGAGAAGGAAGACAATTTAAGACATTGTGTTTGTAAGCCATTCTTCTCTCAAGCTATCCAGCATATACTAGTTCCCTTTGGCCATAATTCTTGAATAAACTTTGTACACATGAGATATACATATACAGAGATACCGAAACAAATGATGTACTGTGTGTGTGTTAGAATTGTTAAGTTCAAAACTGTATTGAAGAAAGGAAATTAAAGAAATATGTTACTAATATGTAAATTTAACTTTGAAAACGAAACTTTTTATTGGCTGGTTAGGCAAAAAAAGAAAAATATGTCTGTTTCAGGAACCCCGACTGACCTTAGTTTTTACCACCAACCCTAACAATTTTATCTCACTCGAATGCACTCCATCCAGTGTTGGGGTAACTTGTCCCACGGGTACAAAATTGATGGATGAACAAACTAGGCAACTATATACATACCCTCTCTTCTTCATAAGCATGGATCAAACCAAATTTAAGTCCCATATTAAAAGACTGAAAATATGTTTGGTGATTTTCGAATTTCATAAATTACCCCCGTCCAAAAAACAACGTAATTTAATAAAAATTAATCCAGACCAACCGACCCTATTTTTTCAGTCATGTTACCTGAAACATGTTTTTTTTAAATTTATGGGCCTTACGCAAAATATTTACATACAAGAAGTTTTGGTTAACCCACTCACCTTTCATAACAATTGATCCTGATTATTAAGCCTACTTAACTGATTTTATTTTTGTAGAAAAATTCTATTGATCCGACCAAAGATAGCACTATGCAATGATGGCAATTATCGAGAGACGCGCTGGTTCACAGGTTGGTCCAAACGTAAGATGACAGAGGACTACTTCCTGCCTCGAATGATACAGGACATCACCGGACAGGTGTGTTATTTTGCTCATTTCATTTTTAGCTCACCTGGTCCGGACCATGGTGAGCTTATGCGTTACCGCAGCGTCCGTCGTTTGTCCGTCCATCAACTTTTCCTTTAAAACGCTACTAGTCCTGAACGGNCAGATTATTTATTGATCCAAATCAGCTCTTTTTATCACCAACAGCTGCTAAATTCCATAAGTAGAGTCCTCGATTTTCAATCATTCAAAATTTCCCACCTGAGTGAATGCCATTTTTGTAGGTCATGGGCCCGGGATGACTAATCAACAAACCATACTGATCCGGACCGAACACGGAATATATTATTCTTGTTTAGATGATTTCCGGACCGCATCTTTTTGTTGTTTAGTCACTCCCCGATACCAAACGGTGTCTGAGAATTCCTCGTTTTCATATAGCAGTACACTCTGGCCCCACACCAAATATCTTTATGTCAAAATATCTAGGTCTGGTGTTCGGGCGAAAGGAAACTTTAGCTACATTTGTATGTATTTTTTTAACGGTTAAGCTGTTTTTTATGGGAGTTATGCCCTGCTGCAAAATCTTTAGACAAGTCTGATTAACATGTTAGTAAGTCCAGAATGATGTTCAGAAAACCTCTTGATAGACTTATATGAAATATGCCATATATTGTTATCACATAATCTAACTCTACATTACAACTAACTTTATTTTTGTGGAAGTACAGGGTCATTTATCCATATTTTGCTTATGGCTTACAGTTCTATAGGTTTGCATTAAGAATAGTTTTTGGCATTCCCTTTTTTAAGGCATTTAATGTTCTTGTTTCAGGCCTGTTATGCACAAAAACGTTGCCTACAACTGCAGAATAACTTTCCTGAATAAGTAAGTAATCTGATAATTTATGTTTAGCATGCATTAACAGGAGGTCATCACTGAATCTGATGTCCTCCAGTTGGGCCAGGTGAGAGATGCACTTGTGGTAGGTTGGTATATACTGAATCTGATGTCCTCCAGTTGGGCCAGGTGAGAGATACACTTGTGGTAGGTGGGTACATCACTGAATCTGATGTCCTCCAGTTGGCCAGGAGAGAGATACACTTGTGGTAGGTGGGTACATTACTGAATCTGATGTCCTCCAGTTGGCCAGGAGAGAGATACACTTGTGGTAGGTGGGTACATCACTGAATCTGATGTCCTCCAGTTGGCCAGGAGAGAGATACACTTGTGGTAGGTGGGTACATTACTGAATCTGATGTCCTCCAGTTGGCCAGGAGAGAGATACACTTGTGGTAGGTGGGTACATCACTGAATCTGATGTCCTCCAGTTGGCCAGGAGAGAGATACACTTGTGGTAGGTGGGTACATTACTGAATCTGATGTCCTCCAGTTGGCCAGGAGAGAGATACACTTGTGGTAGGTGGGTACATCACTGAATCTGATGTCCTCCAGCTGGCCAGGAGAGAGATACACTTGTGGTAGGTGGTTACATCACTGAATCTGATGTCCTCCAGTTGGGGCAGGAGAGAGATGCACTTGTGGTAGGTGGGTACATTACTGAATCTAATGTCCTCCAGTTGGCCAGGAGAGAGATGCACTTGTGGTAGGTTGGTACATTACTGAATCTAATGTCCTCCAGTTGGGCCAGGAGAGAGATGCACTTGTGGTAGGTGGGTATACATCACTGAATCTGATGTCCTCCAGTTGGCCAGGAGAGAGATGCACTTGTGTTAGGTGGGTACATCACTGAATCTGATGTCCTCCAGTTGGGGCAGGAGAGAGATGCATTTGTGGTAGGTGGGTACATTGGCTGAAGACATAGATATACCGTGTAGACTGAGGATATTGGGGCGAGTCAAACCCACAGGGGTTTGGTTTGGTTTTATTTCGTTTATATATATAACATCCTATTAACAGCTTAGGTCATTTAACCCTTTCACCCATATGTAACTTTAGTAGACTCTACCATGCATTGATTTGGATGAGTCCATTATTAGCTCACCTGGTCCAAAGGACCAAGGTGAGCTTATGCCATACCGTGGCGTCCGTCCGTCCGTCGCCCGTCCGTCAACAATTTCTTTAAACGACTTCTTCTTCTTAACCACTGATTGGAATTTAACTAAATTTAACTGGAAGCATCCCTAAGTGGTGGGGATTCAAAATTGTACAAATGGTGGGGCTGACCCCCCAGGGGGCTGAGGGACGGGGCCAAAAGGGGGCAATTTGGCTAAACTGCTTTAAGCGACTTCTTCTCTGGAACCAAGTGATGGATATCAACCATATTAGACTGGAAGCATCCCTAGGTGGTGG